ATTTAAAATAGTACAATTTTTAGTTCATACACTCGTGTTTAGAATGTCATTATTATTTATTCAATTAAATTAATTCAGTATTTCATTGTTACAAAAATATTCAGCAGTCATAATTCATTTTAAACTGAGCTTACGGAAAATATAAAAATATACCACGGCTATCCAGTTATTGTGCCACCATATTACTCCCCCAAAATAATCATATTTCTTTTTTTATTTTCTATCTCAAACTATCACTCCCGTTTATCATTCATACGAAATGATGTTCACACCTGGAACGGTGAACCGTGACGGCTAAAATACACTGAGTGAAGATCAAAAGATTAGAATTACAGAATGCAAACCTTTAAATACCTTAGTTTAACCACGCATTCAACATGTAGTCACTAAGTGTCACAGTACAATACACATTGTATTAATTTTACACAGTACTAGCGGGAAATGTTTGCTAGACTGAAGTAAAAGGTGAGAATACAAACATGCATTTTTAATACACTATCAGTTATATATGTTTGTTGAAAATATCCGTCGGAAAAAAAATTCATAAAAATATTATATTGTATGATTTACTTTTATTACTATAATGACTATAATCATATCAGAAATCCTTAAAATATAAATCGTACATTTTATTTTTAAAAGTTGCACGGCTGATCACTTTACTTTCTTAATTATTAGTTGGTTAATAGCTACGCCAAAAGTCGTCGATGCGCTTTAAATCGCGTTATTAGATGATTAACGAACAAGACTTAAATGAGATTAATTCCACTCCCGGCATGCAAAAAGACTTAAACTACGTCACAGAAGTCAGGAAGTTCGAATAAATAAAATTAATAATTCACAATTTTCTTCTTTATTAGCTTTCATATCCAGATAAAACTTGGTGAATATGTTTTTTATGGTATTATGAACATAATAAGATGATAAGTAAAAAATCGCGAATTTTCCCTTTAAAAGAACATATGTAGGTGAAAAATGTGAGTTTTTTGTTTTAATTTATTATTGAATATTATAATATTACTAATATTATCATATGGGGGTAAAACGGAACTGCCAATCGAAACATTACCCTAAACAAAACCTCTAAATATAAAATCAAGACATGTTTTTAATTTTCTGAAGCATAAAATGCAATGAGATTATATTGTTTTGATTTCAACCATGCCTTGAAACTTTTGTAGGTGCAAAGTTTTGTCTGTACTCAGAGTAAAATTTTCGGTTATATCTACCAGTTCCTTTAAATGAACCTTAATCTTAAATTTGAAATATTATTTTAACAACAATATACCGCTGAATATTTGATAGAACTATAGAAAATGGTTGAAGTGTGTTATATAGACTTCGATTTCTGTAGGATTTAGCACTCTTCGGATTTAGCCTGTTAATGAATATAATTTAGGAGAAATGTAAATTACTTCTTTATAATCGATTTATATTTATGTAAAAAAAGAAATGCCCCCTCCCCTTTCCATCGCAAACAAAAACAAAAAGAAACAATGTGCGTGCCTAAATATTTCCATAGCATTGAACATTAAAACATTCAAGGTTGTTTATATAATATAAAAATAAGACTCTCAAACAGAGACCAAATGACGTAGAAGTTAACAACTAAAGGTCATCGTTGCCTTCAAAAATGAAGAAAACCCATATCACATAGCAAGCTATAAAAGGCCCCGAAATCACAAATGTAAAGTAACTAAAACTAGAAAACTAACGGCCTGATTTATTTACAAAATAATAAACAATACACAAATATGATATACAGCAAGCAACAAACTACAACCACTGAATTACAGGCTCCTGACTTTGGATAGGCCCATACAGCATGTGGTTGGGTTAAACATGTTTTCGGGCGCCCAACCCTCCCCTAACCTGGGACAGTGGTGTAACAGCACAACCTTAGAACAAACTATAAAAATCAGTAAAAACATACACAAATAAAGATAATAAATAGTAATCATTGTTCGGGTAAAGGTAATAATATAAGTACAAATAAAATAAGCAAATCATTGATGTAAATAAAACAAACGTAAGATGACCATAGATATAGTTTATCCCTTAACCCAAGGATGACATATGAATACAACATATTTTATTTCCAGTTAGATCCAAAACAAAAGTAGCCAAAGAAAAATACAACCATGAACTCTATTCGTGTAAAAATAATGGGCACTTTTCGGAATAAACAGATGAGAGATTGAGATTAATGGATGGAATGAAATTATATTACTGTGTTACCACCTCCTGTAATATCTGATGTTGATTTCACGTGATGATTGTAGTAAACTTATAAAAATGATCGTTTATATAAGCAATATACATTACAGACATTATTGTTTATTGATTAAATGGTAGCTAATCTTTCAATTCTCTGCAAAACCGCATACGTTTGACTTAATATGTATATTTGTTTTTAATTTAAGGTACCTCCATAGCTACTTTATACTTAAGGATTTTTTTATTTTTTTTTTTGTGTGACGGGTTTTTAGCATACCAAAGAATTCGTATTTGAACTTAAACATATTTAGAAAATGATTGAGTATAACATACAATGGTAAGACTGAAATTTAAATATAATTTAGTAATTTGGGGTGGAAATGACATACTCGTATTTTGCATCGACTTATAGCGAACAAGGTCTAACAAACCTCTTTTATTATTTGCATTTTAATGTATCTTTACTGGAAATTGCTCTACAAGACAAATTCCCGTAGCATGTATTACTACCATCGTCAGTTATACAAATGAGTTGCCAAAATTTTGCCTGTATGCATCTATAGGTGGCACGGTAGTATTTCCTGGCCCATAAGGGATAATGATAGCCTTTTTAGGATTTTCACCACTTTCTAACACTGCGAAAAATTCTACATACACAGTAAACTGAAGTTCTTTCATTATACTAATCAGAAATAAATTTGAATATGTATCATGACCGTTTACTTTTTTTGCTATTTTTAAAAACTTAAGGCCACTAGTGCTTTTAGGTCTTTTATCATGCAGTGAATACAAAAATTCTCAAAAATTCTCAAAAATTCATTTTCACCTGTATGTAAAATTATTTCATATTTTTCTTCACCTGATTCATCCCTCAGTTTGGGAAAGTATGTTCAGTTGATACTGTATTTTTTGTCCAATCACACTGTTCAGATACATTGACTTAAGTAGGGTACACAAAAGAGCAACCTAAATGCCGGAATGCAAATACTACCGTGGTACCTTTACCAAGACATCACAAACTTGAAAACAGTCATGACACCTATGATGCATAGACTTCTTACTAGGAAACATATTACAATAAAGAATACTAGTCTGCACTTATTTCTTACCAAATAAATATTAAAGATTATACCCCTACCCCAGCTGGCAGATTTTCACTTTTTTTTCATCTTACCATTTTTACTTAAGGAGTGAACAAAACCCAAATATGTGATGTTTCAAATCAACACAGAAGTAAAACATGGTGATTAAGTAGGAGTTATTGGATTGCCAACTCTATTTATAGTTAATCTGACTGAAAGAAACAGTTTAAGCACCAAATCATGAAAAATGATAGTAGAGTCCATTCCACATTTTACAGCATGCCTTACATTCCTTTAAGCATTTCCAGATTGTGAAGGCAATACAACAAGGTTCTTTAGATGGCAGTTAACTATTATTCTAAAATCTTTTTGACTATACATGTACTAGAATATATCTCTAAGTTGACTGATTGTCTATTTCTCATGTGTGCATTAAGTTAAATTATGTCCCCTTACATAATCAATTTACCTTTTTTGTGCTTTTCAGTGTCAGAAAATTAAAACAATTAATGCCATTTGCATGGAAAATGAATAAACTATTTAATCTTGCTGATATACAATCATAATCACATTTTTTGTCCAAAAAATTGTCTTGTCAATGTAAAGAAACCCCTAATGCTATCCCTATTTCAGTTAAATTTGAGGGCTAAATGAATAAATAAGGACCCCTTAACCACTTACTAGTTCCAAAAAAGCTCTTACTGGTGTCATGTTACCACAGAACTACAAATTAAACCTGAAGAAAACTAGTATAGCTGTACTTGTGTGGAAAAAAAATGAGAAATTATGCACTTTATTTATTACGGTGAAAATTATAGGACGTACAGGCAACTAAAATATGTCGCGTCTCAAATTCCAGTTGTTGCACATGTGTCAGACACTGCGAAAAGTTAAAGCGAAACTTTATAATTTAAAATGTATTGCAAGTTACTTAAAAATAAAGAAATTTTACTTTCTTGGTAAATTTTAACATTATTACCCACAGATCAGGCAAAATTTGCTGAATCAGCAATTTTCACTCCCAGGGGTGAAATTTAAGGGCTGTTTTTATTCTACTTGCACTTAATCAACTTTTTATTGATAATATTACAAATTGCATAGGTAAAAAAAATACCTTTATTGATTTAGTGTAAACATATATATCCCAGTTAAGGTGGCACGGTAGTATTTCCTGGCCCATAAGGGATAATGATAGCCTTTTTAGGATTTTCACCACTTTCTAACACTGCGAAAAATTCTACATACACAGTTAACTGAAGTTCTTTCATTATACTAATCAGAAATAAATTTGAATATGTATCATGACCGTTTACTTTTTTTGCTATTTTTAAAAACTTAAGGCCACTAGTGCTTTTAGGTCTTTTATCATGCAGTGAATACAAAAATTAAAAAAATTCTCAAAAATTCATTTTCACCTGTATGTAAAATTATTTCATATTTTTCTACACCTGATTCATCCCTCAGTTTGGGAAAGTATGATCAGTTGATACTGTATTTTTTGTCCAATCACACTGTTCAGATACATTGACTTAAGTAGGGTACACAAAAGAGCAACCTAAATTCCGGAATGCAAATACTACCGTGCTACCTATATGCATAATAGAAAATAGTATAATCACTCACTCGAATGAGTACGTTTTGACCAAAAATCCGACATTTATATAATTTTCTTGAATTATTTTATTTTATTTTATTTTTCAGATATTCGAGATGAAAAGAACCTGCTTGTGTATCTTTATGTTTTCATCATTGTGCTCTCTAGGTACTGTATTTATTTTATCGATCTAACAAAGTAGATGAGTTGTCATATTGTCGGATTATATGTATTGGAATGTAAGGTTTAGATATTGGTTATGTTAACATCTACGTATAACTAATCATTATCTTTTTGTAAATTATACAAATATTAAGTTAGGAATTATCTTTTTGTATATTTACAATTAAAATCAATAAATTCAAAATCTGAGTTACAACTAAATTTTGTCTCGCAGCCAATATTTTCTTTCAGCTTTTTACATCAAATTTTATATGTAATTAACTAAAACTTTAATGTTCAAATAAAATGCATTTTATATGAAATTCAAACGTTATTTTATTTCCTGTATATCCTGCGGATACAGTAACCTGAGATTTGGTAAGCGAATTTGCTAAAGTTTAATGTTATTTGAATTTTAAATGTTTTCCCCCTTCTTTTTTGCATTGCTTTGATATTGCTTTTTTTCATAATTCTGAAGTTATAAATATTCGCATAATAACATTAATTATCAATTTTACTCCACTGGCAAACTTAAAACTCTTTTTTTTTGTTTTGTTTCGAAATTCAACTTTTATTCAGTTTCAATCATTAATGTTTTCAAGCTGATAAATGTGCTTTGGGGCAGTTGTAACTCATTTATCGCAATTCTTTGTTTTGAACATTCATTCTTCACAACAAGTAATAGCTTTTCGAAAAAAGCTAGCCGTCTCTTAGGTGATGAAAGTGGAAAGTGTTCTCGCTTTGTAGATTAATTCATTCAGAAAAGCCTTGCATGTCAATCAACAAATTTCACCACACACGTTATGAAGCAGTATATCGTTTAATGTTATGTATCAAATAAGGTCCAACGGAATAATCCTTAAAATCATGGTTGTAAATGCTTTACATATTTGTCAAACAATTTATTCTCTCGTCATTAAATATTATAACCATGTTCAAGTTATCTTATGTTTTTCGTGTAAAATGTAAAATGTGCGTAACAGTGAGCGACTGGATTGAATGTGAAACAATCGATCATGTGTGTGTTGATGATGATGGAAGTGTTAAACGACCTTGACTTTGTGTGTGTTTACAAGAGATTCGGCTATTTATAGATAAAAGTTACCTGTGTACCGATATGCATGATTGGTGACCAGGCAAAATCTAATTGCTAAAATAGAGAGTGCAAATCCGATACTCTACGGGATTGGCAGACATTTACTAGGTTTGGATTGTCCGAACCAATCAACGAACTTTAAATATTAACGTCTCAGTAATATCTTCCAATCAGGTAGTTAGGAGCATTCAGCCCGAAGACTGTCCATCGTTCAGTTCTTAATAACGTCTCCGAGGAGACGTTAATTAAGGAACACCAAATCCATTGGTCGAGAGCACTTTGTTATATTCTAATTACTTTATAGCATTAAACAAAGACACAATTGATAACGAACGCTAACTTACCACAACCACTAGACATAAGGCTCCTACATTGTTGTGTAGCTTCGGACAAATACATAAAGAATGTGGCAGATTTTAACCTATTTGTGAGTGCTCTAGCCACATACCCAATACACTAACCCGTGACAGTATTGTATCAGGACAACATCAAAACAAACTGTTAAAATGAGTTTTGAAGGGCTTGACTCATCAAATCAGCACTTAGCAGAAAACAACTTGCAAAATGATTTTTTTTTCAAAGAAAGAAAGTAATGAGCTACTTGCAGTATCTAAAAGCTAGTTTCAATTAATAAGTGAACCATGTTTTCTCATACTGAAATATCACATCTGTTTAGATAGCCTTTACACATAATTCAAATATATCATACCAAAGAACTAAATTCAGATGTATGCAAAGCTGAATAACATTTCCTCTTCGTAAATGTAACTTGTGGGAATAAATTTCAGATAACTTGAAACTGACATGAACCATTCTACAGAAATACTATAAAAAAATTAAAGATTTCTCATTTGAATGCAGTATGCAAATAACAAAAGATTCAATATTTTTTGTTTGCTTTTGTTTTTTAATATCATATTCCTTTATGTTAACTAAATTCTAGGGGCAGTTGTAACTCATTTATCGAAATTCTTTGTTTTGAACTGTAAGAAGACCTAAATGATTTACATTTATTCTTCACAATTAAGGAACACCAAATCCTACAATTCCTTTGGTCTAGAGCACTTTGCTATATCTTAATGTATATATATGTTAGCGGCAATAAGTGAAATTAGGCATTAAGCTTAAACCTTAGGCAATAAGCTAACGCCTAGTCAGTAAGTCTATTGCCTAAATAATGTTAGGCATTACTATTAAATCCAAGGATTTAAACTTAAGTCCTAAAAATTATGTCCAGGCATTAATATTAATGCCTAAAATGTAAATGAGAGTAAATAAAAAGAAATTTTTTCAAAGTTAAAATACATTTTGTACATAATAAAATAATAAGAATTGAATAAAATTGAGAATGGAAATGGGGAATGTGTCAAAGAGACAACAACCCGACCATAGAACAGACAACAGCAGAAGGTCACCAACAGGTCTTCAATGTAGCGAGAAATTCCCGCACCCGGAGGCGTCCTTCAGCTGGCCCCTAAACAAATATATATACTAGTTCAGTGATAATGAACGCCATACTAAACTCCAAATTGTACACAAGAAACTAAAATTAAAAATAATACAAGACTAACAAAGGCTAGAGGCTCCTGACTTGGGACAGGCGCAAAAATGAAGTTTGAATGTCAATAACAAGAAGTAAAATCATAAGTAAAATATTTATGTTAAAACTCATTGAATAAACCTCTTAAAATATATGTAAACTTGTTGGATAGTTGTCTCATTGGCAATCATACCACATCTCCTTATTGTTATATTGATAGAATATTGTATTGAAATTTATTTGTTACCAATTGGTGCGGTACTATGGCACAGACTATTTCACAGTTTTAAGTTTTTCTAGCATTTGTTCCTGGTGATCGTCAAATACCTTTATGTAGAGTAAAATTCTTTTGTATTATGGACGAATTTGATTCCAATTGACCGCTGTTAATTCGTTCTTCCTCATCCATGCAGTAAGCATGTCATGAATATTTCCATTTGACCACTCAATACTACCCTGTGATTGGAAATGTATTGGCTTCCCGTGAACAATAACTAGTTCTGGCGACATTAGCATTAATTCAGATATAACATAAGCTGTAAATTCACGACCTTTGTCACGTTGCAGTTTATGTGGCACACCAAATATTGTGAAAACATAAATTAAATTAGAAGCCACCTTTGAAGCACTTTTTGACGCAAAGTCTCATATATATATATATATATATATGTCATTTGGTGACACTGATAGATGATTAGAAATCAGTAATAATGATCATAACGGTAATCATCCTTATTACACACAAGCAAATAGATTGTCCATTTGCAAATTAAAATGTAAGATCCGCCCGATCAGTTGAAAAAACATTGATTATACATACATAATCGAAGTCTTCTTCGTGTAATAGAGGACCTCCTGAATCGACAGAAAAATATTTTGAAAAAAAAAGAATAAAAATCAATATGAACATTAGAATACAAGTCAATCAAAAATCTTTCATTTAAAGTTTTCTGTCCTTCGCATTCGTGCAGGAGTCCATTCCGTTATTTGTTTCTCTCTGGACTTTTCTTATACATCAAAAAGAGGTATATGATGTCTCGCAATTTATTTTCTGATTACACCATAAAGGAGCATACATTTTCTCGTAATTTTGTACATTTTATTGTAGAAAAGTATGGCGATGACTTGCATTATAAAAATAAAATGTTCACCGCTTCCCTTTGAACTTTTTCGATCCTCTAAGACTACAGATACATTCAATTTTGAAAGTAAAATTGATTAATATGCACGGTACTATTTCTGTAACTACTTGTACTTCCGATATTTATTAAATATAAAAAAGAAGATGTGGTATGATTGCCAATAAGACAACTATCCACAAGAGACCAAATGACACAGAAATTAACAACAGTATCTTCAGGTTGTTCAGATGTGGTCGGGATTGTATGAGGCTGAGCTTGGAGCTTTAAATCGCATGAATGTTAAAAATTTTCGAATTTCTTTTGTTTGTTTACATAAAAAATTCGTAAGGGTTCCGCGGAACCCAGTATCTCGCCTACTTTTGCTGTTAATCGCAGGCTCAACAAAAATGTGGAAAAAAATAATAAAAATATTCCTCTTTATACTATCTTTTGATTGTAAGTAGCTTCTGTTCAAGTTTGGTAAAAATCTAGGATAGTTTATGAATCTAATAAATGTTTTAAAAACTTAAACTGCAGACTGTATGTAATGTTAACTTGAAGAAAAACTAAGTCCATTTATAAGTAAAATATGGAACAAATTGGAACAAAATTTTAACAAAATTTCCTTCTAGATACTAGCTTTTAATCATAAACAAGTTTCTTTCCAAGTTTGTTAGAAATCCAGGATAGTTTAAGAAAGTTATTAAAATTTTAAAAACTTTAACCACAGAGTGAATGTAATGTTAACTGGCAGAAAAACTAAGCCCATTTATAAGTAAAATACGGAAAAAATGATTTTTTTTTTTACAAAATTTACTTCTGGATACTATCTTATGATCATAAACAAGCTTCTTTCCAAGTTTGGTAGAAATCCAGGATAGTTTTAGAAATTTAAAATTTCAAAAACTTTAACCACAGAGTGAATATTTGTGGACGCCGCCGACGACGACGACGACGACGACGACGCCGACAACGGAATGTAGGATCGCTATGTCTCGCTTTTTCGACAAAAGTCGAAGGCTCGACAAAAACCAGTATGTTATGCTTATTCAACATATGATTTTGTAAGACTGTTTTACATTGCTTTCTCCGGCTTGGATCATACTGTTTGTCCTTTTTGGTTTTTTATAGTTTTAGCTCTTCATTTTTGTTCAAATATTCAGGCCTAAAACATCACTAAAGAGACATTTATTGTCAGAATGCGCATCTGGTGCAGTCAAATTGGTACCGTTTATTATAACAGAATAAA